CCCCAAAATCTTGGGGAGGGCCCACGGGACCCCTGTCCCCTAGAGTGGATGCCTTTGGCAGGAGAGTAAAATGTCTTTCTTCCTTTGCAGGGCCGTGGTTTGGAAGTGCCAGTCAGGGCTCCGGCCAAGCAGCAGCCCAGCGGTGCCACGTCCAAAACCAACATCAGCAGGTATGCTGTGCCCTTCTGTGGCAGGGGTGCGGCAGTCTGAGGATGGCACGGCCGGTGTGCTGGGCTATTGCCTCATAAGAAAAGGTTTTTGATAGAGGGTGAATTGAATGGGTGGAGGGTTGGAGGAGAGGCAGAAAGAAGAGCTCATTCGACCGTGGCTAGGGGGCGCGATCTGGACGGTTCTCCAGGGGCGCAAGATCACCCAGCTACGGCTGTGCCTACAGGGCGCCCTTGACATTTGAGAGCCCAAAGTTGGCCCTTGGTTGGGCACAGTTCCAGGTTGAAACCTGTGGAGGCCCCTAGGCAGTCAAAATATCCCTGGGCTCCTTGCAAATCATATCCTGATACGTTTTTTATTTTAGCAACCAACAATAATTAATAGGCAAAACAAACAGTACTTATTCTGATCCGTTTTTGCCTGGCCCATAGGCCTACTCTGCCCATTGAATAATCTGGCTCTGGTGGAGATCAACCCCAGATTTCTCCCTTTCTCCCCCAATCAGACTAACTGAGCTTGTTTCTTCCTTAGGCGAGAGGCCGGCCAGAACAAAGGGGGAAAGGCTCCCAGCTCAGGTAAGTGGAAATGCCCACTGAGTGCCCCATATTCTAGGAATGCTTCCTTCCCTTGTCCCCCACCCTCATGCCCCAGACTGGGGCTAGCATGGCAGGGAGCCAGGAGCCTGCTCATGTTTTTTTTTCCTTTGCAGTGTGGGAGCCTTTCCCCAACACGTATTTTGTTCTGGCGAAATCCCTGGAGAGGCGTGGCGAACATCAGGTACGAGGGCAGAGGGAATGAAGGGATCCTTGTGAAACATGTTTTGGGAGTCCACCTGTGGCTTCCATTCTCATGCGATGTCTTTCTTCCTCCACAGGGCCACGCCTCCAGGGATGAGGCTCCAGCGCCGGCTCCCGGAATGAAGAACCAGACATCCCGGCGGTTCCCGGCTGACGTCCCTCGCGGCGTGTCCCCACTGCCCCTCCTCCGTACGGGCATGGCTCCATCCCGGCCCGGTTTGGCACAGAAGCAGCAGCCAAAGTTTCCTCCCATTAAAACAGCTTCTCAGCTGAGGGAGGAGACTTTGGCTGTTGCTTCTGTGCTAGGCCGGTCGGATGCCCGTACGGTGGAGAAGTGGGGAGCCCTTCTAAGATCAGGTAAGTGGAAATGCCCCTTCCCAGGTCCCCCACCCTCCTGCCCCAGACTGGGGCTAGTGTGGCTGGGAGACAGGAGCCTTCTGATGTCTCTGTTTGTTTTGCAGCGAGGGATAAGTACAGCCGTGGAACCGCCGCATTCCTCCGGGAGGGACTGGAGCCCAGACGACGGCCTCTCGCCCCTGAGGTAATGGGACAGGGGAGAGGAGGGGGCTTAGGAAACACACAAGGAGGGCCTGCAGGATCAGGCCAAGGGCCCATCTGGTCCAGCCTCCTCTTCTCCCAGGGGCCACCCAGATGCCACTGCGAAAGCAGTCAACAGGATTCGAGCCCAAGAAGCAGTGCTTCAAAGATCCCTTCTTTCTTGCAGGATTTCGATCCTGCACCGCTGTGGCTGCTGCCCAAGCCTCCCCCCAAAAGACCAGGTAAGAGGAAGGGAACCTTTGCACGGGGCGGGGAGATGGCTGGGGGCCTTCCTACAGGGGTTGCTTCACTACAGCTCCCATTGTCCTTGACGACTGTCCTTTCCCCCCTTCTTTTTTTTATAAAAAAACACAGGTTGAGGCGAATTTTTCTACTCTGAAAAATATTCCGGAGCTGCATTCACCACTGAAGCTGCAGATGGAATTCCAAGCAGTGAAGCAGCTCCAGCATCTTCCCTTCCTTCCTAGTTCTAACTTGTCCCTGGATATCTGGAAAGGCAACTGTGACTGCATTGGTTTTGAGGATATTCTGAACGACCCGGCACAGAGTGAAGGAATGGGAGATCCTCATCTTTTGGTTGAACACAAACTTGGTTTCTTATAATGCACACATCCTCCATCCTTCTGTTCATGAAAATATTTCTTACCTGTGTCCCTGTGGGTTCAAGTAAACCATCTAAACAGTAGTTGTACAGCAGTTGTTTTGATACACACCTTCCAGGCAGAGACTGCTCAGCTTATGTCCTGATAATCAACACCTTTTACTCCAACAAGGAAATCTTTATGCAGGAGATCATTTCCAACGCCTCTGATGCACTGGACAAGATCCACTATGAGAGTCTGACAGATCCCTCAAAGCTGGGAAGTGGCAAAGAGCTGAAGATAGATATCATTCCCAATCCCCATGATCGCACCCTCACCTTGGTGGACACCGGTATTGGCATGACAAAGGCAGACCTTATCAACATTCTGGGCACCGTTGCGAAGTCTGGCACCAAAGCCTTCATGGAAGCCTTGCAGGCTGGTGCAGACATCTCCATGATTGGACAGTTCAGTGTGGGCTTTTACTCTGCTTACCTTGTGGCTGAGAAGGTTGTGGTTATCACCAAGCACAACGATGATGAACAGTATGCCTGGGAGTCATCTGCAGGCGGCTCCTTCACTGTCAAAACTGACCATGGTGAACCCATTGGCCGTGGTACCAAAGTGATCTTGCACCTGAAGGAAGATCAGACTGAATACCTGGAGGAACGTCGCATCAAGGAAGTGCTGAAGAAGCACTCCCAGTTCATTGGCTACCCTATCACCCTCTATCTGGCGAAGGAGCGTGAGAAGGAAATCAGCGACGATGAGGCAGAAGAGTAAAAAGTGGAGAAGGAGGATGAAGAGGCAGCCCCCAAGGATGAGGAGGAGAAGCCCAAGATTGAAGATGTGGGCTCAGGTGAAGAGGAGGAAGGTGGCAAGAGCAAGAAGAAGACCAAGAAGATCAAGGAAAAGTACATCGACCAGGAGGAACTGAACAAGACCAAGCCCATCTGGAACCGAAACCCTGATGACATCACTCAGGAGGACTATGGCGAGTTCTACAAGAGCTTGACTAATGATTGGGAAGACCACCTGGCTGTTAAGCACTTCTCTGTGGAGGGGCAGTTGGAATTCCGGGCACTTCTCTTCATCCCACGCCGGGCCCCATTGACCTCTTTGAGAACAAGAAGAAAAAGAACAACATCAAGCTCTATGTGAGGCGCGTCTTCATTATGGACAGCTGTGATGAACTCATCCCAGTGTACCTGAAATTCATCCGGGGTGTAGTGGACTCCGAGGATCTGCCCCTGAACATCTCCCGTGAGATGCTGCAACAAAGCAAGATTCTCAAAGTGATTCGCAAGAACATCGTCAAGAAATGCCTGGAGCTTTTTGCAGAGCTGGCGGGGGACAAAGAAAACTACAAGAAGTTCTACGAGGCCTTCTCCAAAAATCTCAAGCCGGGGATCCATGAGGACTCTACCAACAGGAAATGCCTGTCAGAACTGTTGCGGTACCACACTTCCCACTCCGGCGATGAGATGAATTCCCTCTCCGAATATGTGTCCCGTATGAAGGAAAACCAGGAAAGCATCTCTTACATCACAGGTGAGAGCAAGGAGCAGGTGGCTAACTCTGCCTTTGTGGAGCGAGTGAGGAGACGTGGTTTTGAGGTGGTGTACATGACAGAGCCCATTGATGAGTAGAGCGTCCAGCAGCAGGAGGAATTTGATGGCAAGACCTTGGTGTCCGTCACCAAAGAAGGGCTGGAGCTGCCAGAGGATGAGGACGAGAAGCAGAAGATGGAGGAGAGCAAAGCCAAGTTTGAGAACCTTTGCAAACTCATGAAGGAAATCCTGGAGAAGAAAGTTGACAAGGTGACGGTCTCAAACAGGCTGGTCTCCTGGCCCTGCTGTATTGTCACCAGCACCTATGGCTGGACCGCCAACATGGAACGTATCATGAAGGCCCAGGCCTTGCGAGACAACTCTACCATGGGCTACATGATGGCCAAGAAGCACCTGGAGATCAACCCTGACCACCCCATTGTAGAGACGCTGCGTCAGAAGACCGAGGCAGACAAGAATGACAAGGCCGTCCAGGACCTTGTGGTGCTGCTCTTGGAGACAGCACTGCTTTCCTCTGGCTTCTCCTTGGAGGACCCACAGACTCACTCCAACCGTATCTATAGGATGATCAAGCTGGGGCTCGGGATGGATGAAGATGAGGTTGCTGCTGAAGAGCCTAGTGCCGCTGTCTCTGAAGATATTCCCCCTCTGGAAGGAGACGAGGATGCCTCACGCATGGAGGAGGTGGACTAAAGAGAGGGCGCTGACCCCTCCCCCTCTGTCTTGCCCCCATCTATTCCCTGCACCATCGCCTTGCTCAGGAAGACTGGCTCCGGCAGTGCTCTGGCATGCCTTCGTCAGCAGTCTCTCACGACCTTCCTGTAGAATTGGTAGCCCATGTGACAAGGGGTCTCCACACCTATCTGAGCTGTCTTTCTGCTTGTTTAGAAGAAATGCTGCTTTAGGGGAAAGGGACCGGCCCACTGGTTTGAGGTTTTTCCTGCCCCCATGCGGGTTTTATCCTTTTTCTGCTGGGCCACCAAGCATCCATCCTACCATAGCTGAGGTGAACACAGTGAATGTCCTCCCCACTAACAGAGCAGTGAGTTGCCTCCCTCCCTCCCTGCTGCCCTTTGCCCTCAGAGAGCAGGGACTTGTACTCTTGTTGGCTGTTTGTATTTGGTTTGGTTTTACTGGAATTAAAATAACAAAGAATGTGGTTTACCTTGATGAAAACAAGGCACATTAAATGCTTCAATATATTACTTTCGTCCTGTGTTTACTGTCAGTACAAATGTCTTGTAATGGTCGCCTGTGGCTTCTAAAAGCAGGCCCTCCAACATTTCTCCAGTGAGAATAGGGATGTCCCATTCCATAATGATAATTTTACTATTTATACCTGTCAGGAAACTGACATCGGAGCTAGAGGTGAAGAGAAGGCTCTCAGATGATGCTGGAGAAGGGCCCAGCAGGGAGAGAGGCAGCTCAGTAGAGGGGGAAGCAAATCAGCGCAACACCAGGGATAAAGGGGGGCAGAGGGGGGAATCGGCGAGAGGGCTCCAGGACTCTTCACTGGACACCAGCGGGGAGAGCACAGGTCCTCCGCTACCCACGCCCTCCCTGCGCAGAAGACTTCCGCGCAGGGAGAATAGGAGGAGACTGGGCGTCAAACAACTTTTATGTTGGAAAAGGTTTAAGAAATGCCCACTGACGGATTCTTCCAGCGACTGAGGCAGCCACGGAGAGAAGGGCTGTCCAGTCAGAAAGGTTTAACAAGGCAATTTAGCCTGGAGAGGTGGCAGCTTACGCACGAGCAACCCCATACATATTACAATACCCTACCCATCTGATTGGATTGCCCCAGCCACTCTGGGCAGCTTCCAACATATATAAAAACATAATAAAACATTAAACTTCCCTCTACAGGATTGTCTTCAGACAGCTCGGGGGTTGGATAACTCCATACCCTCCAACATCTCTCAAATGAAAATAGAGACATCCTAAGGAAAAGTGGGGCGTTATGGGATCAAATCAGAAACCGAGACGGCTTCTCCAAATTAGGGATGTGCCTGGAAAATAGGGACACTTGGAGGGTCTGTAAAAGCCATCAGCGTGTAGCAGCAGCCACACCCCAGGAAAGGCTTTGACCAGCCAGCTAAAGCAAGTGAGGGTGACCAATGGTTCTCAAACCCTCAGAGAGTTAATACAGAGACAGGCTCTGGTAGATTGAGCAGAGGAGACCAATTGTGGTTCCAGTGGTCTGCAGGTACTGTAGAGGGAAGTGAGGGGCAGAGGGGGCTTGTCGGCCTGGTAAGGCAGCCCATCTCAGAGAAGAAAAACCCTGATTTTAAATCTCCACTGCATGCATGTATGTGTGTTGCATATACGATGGAAATCTTTAAACGGCTCCCAATATTGGTGTCACCTCAAACCTAGTTTTATTTTTTTAGGGAGACGTGTCTCAAATTAGTTCTATGCCTCCTACTGAGACGGGTGGCGCTGTGGTCTAAACCCCTGGGACTCTTGGGCTTGCCGATCGGAAGGTTGGCGGTTCGAATCCCCTGCGACGGGGTGAGCTCCCATTCCTCTGTCCCAGCTCCTGCCAACCTAGCAGTTCAAAAGCACAGCAGTGCAAGTAGATAAATGGGTATCACTGCGGTGGGAAGGTAAATGGCATTTCCGTGTGCTTTGGTTTCCGTCACGGTGTCCCGTTGCGCCAGAAGCGGTTTAGTCCTGCTGGCCACATGACCTGGAAAACTCTGTGGACAAAGGCCGGCTCCCTTGGCCTGAAAGTGAGATGAGCACCACAACCCCATAGTTGCCATTGACTAGACTTAACCATCCGGGGGTCCTTCGCCTTTTTTTCTAATGCCTCTTACGATATCAACTTCCAGTAAAGTTTTCCAGTTTTTGAGGCTCCCTCAATTCTTTCCACAGTATGTTCCTCCTATCTCTCAAGAGTGAGGAAGCCCTGGTAAGATCAGGTCTATATAAGGGTGCATACACCTTTGTTCTGGGTCCTCCTCCTGCGTGTGAGGAGAGCACCCTGTTGCAAAGCTTTAATAAAGATCAGGCTTACTAGCTGCTTTGCTTCTCAATATTCTCTGGCTGACCTCTGTTATTTTCTCCTACCAATAGGGAACCCACATAAGGGCTCTATATGGGCTCTTGGGTACCCCATAAGGGAAAAGGGGCAGATTTTGTTTGCAACACCTGAAACTTATTGATGAACCTTTACACTTTCACCTGTACGTGAGACAAAGCCATAGGCTTACAGCAGAACACTCTCTGTCTCATACAGACCTTTATCAAATTATAGAGAGGGGAAAATTCAGGTGGCCTTTCCTAATGTGGAAGCAATTTTGCGGCTTATTTCTTAGCTTTATGGTCACTAACTGCTCGGGAGAGAGGAGATTTTCGAGACTCCAAAGAATTAAAATGAATTAAGAGTCACGATGTCTCTCTCTTTTTTAAAAAAAGATATTTATTAAAGGTTTAATAATTACAGAAAAAAGAAACAATAAAAAGTTTACATCAAAAATAAAAACAAAAACAAAAAACAATACAGCAAAACGACAAGAAAAGCAAAAACATTTAAAAACACATCCAATATCTCTATATCTCTACCTTTCATTTACTTGTATCAACGACCTCCTCACACCTCCCTTTTTTTATTCTTGTTCAATTAACTATTTCCATCTTTCTTAATTTTTGCTCTATAATTTATCTTAACCCAATCTAACCTTAAATTTCCACTTTGACCCATTAACAATCTATTTTTACTTAATTCTTTATAACATTTCTGCTAAAGCCATATAACTTTATTCCAGCATCCTTCTAACATTCATTAATTTTACAATATTTCTGTAAATATACTTTAAATTTTTTCCAATCTTCTTCCACCGACTCTTCTCCCTGGTCTCGGATTCTGCCAGAGTCACGATGTCTCAAGAGAGGTTGTCCGCACTGAGTGAGGAAGTAATAGAGTTGTCTATAACACTCTTCTATTTTCTTCTAGTCGTGAGGGTGGGGGATTGGGAGGGGCCTCACAAGTGGAGTAGCCTAGGGCCTTTCTTCATCTAAATCTGGCCCTGAGCAGGACCCACACTAAGTTAATAAATGGAGGGAGGAGGTGGGGGAAGTAATAATATATCTATTCTTCCCCCCCATTTTTTTATTAATTTCCCAAATTTATAACAAACAAAATAATTTTTTATAACAGATAAAAAACATTACAATATAAAGAACAAACAAACAAACAAACAAACATTTATCCTCACTGTTAAAATCCCAATTTTGTTATCATTGTTAAATGACTTCCTCAAATCTCCCTAGCTGAGTTTCCATATAGGTCATTGTAGCAGTTTTCCAACACTACTTTTAAATAAAATTAACTTAATCGATTAACATCTGTCTTTCTTTTCAAATTATCTTCTGTCCATAATGTTATACAATTTAACATGTTTAACTCCTAGGCCAATTTGGTACTTACAAGTAATTCTAGTTACATTATCTTAGAATATTTAGCTAAAGAGTCCTTAAATTTCTTCCATTCTTCTTGGTACTCCTCCTCTTTCTGATCACGGATTCTTCCAGTCAGGTCAGCCAGCTCCAAAAAGTCCATCATCTTCGACTGCCATTCCTCCACTGTTGGTAATTCTTGGAAATAATATATCTATTTTTAAGCAAAGAGGATGTGCGCTGATTCTTTGGAAGCGCAGATCTCTTCTCAGTTGGAGCAAAAAGAGCACAACAGTCCTTTTAAATTTAGGGGTCTTTTATACCTTGTTGGTAAAGGCATGCCAATGGAGAAGGGATGGAGACCTTGAGATGAGCAGTTAGTTTTATCGTGCTTTTGAATTTATCACAGAATTTCCTTCCTGCTTGTCACCTCACCCGTCTTGCTAATTAAGTGTTTGAATGAAAGCCATCCTGGTGGCCTCTGGCTGAACTGGCTATCCTTTGTCTGCTCTCTGGCAGTTAAATTTCCTTGTGTTGGCTGATGAGGCTGATTTCAGGCTTGTATCAAGGTAAAGCAAGGTTCACAATGGAGAATCTCATGCCATATTGAAGTTATGTCAATCTTTCTTACTTATGCTATGATCTATAGCACTTTAAGCAACTTTTGGGGAAAGGAGAAATCTGGTTCTTTCAAAAGTACATATTTTTTTAAAAATGCCTGGTACAGCTTTTAACTCTTTACTTTCCACACAGACAAACAATGTATATAAAATGCTGTTAAGCCTTTCTTTCAAAGCAGTGTAAACACTTGCCTATATTTTGGGGAAAACATTTACCTCAAATAATTAGTGCACGCTCCTTGTGGCTCCATGTGATATACTTGATTTCTGGCTTTAGTTTTGGCAATAAAAGGTAAAGGTAAAGGTACCCCTGACCGTAAGGTCCAGTCGCGGACGACTCTGGGGTTGCGCGCTCATCTTGCTCTATAGGCCGAGACAGCTGGCGTTTGTCTGCAGACAGCTTCCAGGTCATGTGGCCAGCATGACTAAGCCGCTTCTGGCGAAACCAGAGCAGCACACAGAAATGCCATTTACCTTCCTGCTGGAGTGGTACCTATTTATCTACTTGCACTTTGACGTGCTTTCAAACTGCTAGGTGGGCAGGAGCTGGGACTGAACAACGGGAGCTCACCCTGTCTCAGGGATTTGAACTGCCAACCTTCTGATCAGCAAGCCCTAGGTTCTGTGGTTTAGACCACAGTACCACCCGCGTCCCCAGTTTTGGCAATAGTAATACACAATTTTTGAGACATGTGTTGAGGGTTTCCACCAATTCCAAATAAGCAGTTACTGAGCCACAATGCTAATTCTGGAGATTACAGAATAAGTTCCATCAAAGCAGGGAAGCCTTTTCAGTTAAAAAATTAAATATGAAAGGAGATTGGATAACCTATAGAGATTTGTTGAAAGAAGACAATAACATAATCAAAATCAGACCTTATGAAGAACTAAAACCTAGATTGTCAGGATGGATGGAATATCACCAAATTAATGATATATTCCTTAAAGATTAAAAAAATATGGATTTAATCATGATAGATCAATACTGGAGACTGGGGTATTACAAGGTCGTACAAAGATGTTGTCTAAAGTACAGTGCTATCTCGGGTTAAGTATTTACTTCGTTCCGGAGGTCCGTTCTTAACCTGTAATTGTTCTTAACCTGAAGCACCACTTTAGCTAATAGGGCCTCCTGCTGCTGCCGCACCGCCGGAGCACGATTTCTGTTCTCAACCTGAAACAAAGTTCTTAACCCGAGGTAATATTTCTGGGTTAGAGGAGTCTGTAACCTGAAGCGTATGTAACCTGAAGCATATGTAACCCGAGGTACCACTGTATATGAATTTTTGTTGAAATGGCATACAAAAGATGAAGAAATTAAGGAGGTCATGACTAAGTGGGCAATGGACCTAGGATATAATATCGAGTATGAGAAATTGACAAGACTATGGAATTTAGGAATAAAATTTACCGCATCCATGACGAGAATTTGTTAAAAATGATGTATAGGTGGTACTTAACACCCACCAAACTAGCAAAGATGTACAAAATGAAAAATAAGAACTGTTGGAAATGCACTGTAAAAGAGGGAAATTTTCTCCACATGTGGTGGTTGTGTGACAAGGTGAAGACTTTTTGGGATAATGTGTATAATGAGTTTTAAAAGATATTTACGTACACCTTTTATAAAAAAAAAACCGGAGGCATTTTTGCTAGGAATGGCTGGAGAGGACATTAAAAAGGAAGATCAGAAATTCTTCCTGTATGCCACAACAGCAGGAAGACTACTCCTTGCACAGTGATGGAAACAACAAGATATTACAACAATTGAAGAATGGCAACAGAATGTATTGGAGTAAGCGGAAATAGCAAGGCTAACAGGAAGAATCCAACAGCAGGACGATGAGAAATTCTAAAAAGAATGGTCCAAATTTATGGTATACTTAGAGAAAGACTACATAAATAAAGACACTCACAGGACTGAAATAAAACTCATAACGTTTATTGTATACATTTGGTTAGACCACAATATGTAATGCTGTAATATAATAAGGAATGTATATCTAAAGTACAATACAAAAAATTATTAAGAAATTATAGACATTTATAGAATGTATATATAGTAATCAAGCTTAAGTAAGAGCAAAGAAGAGAAGCCAGAAGAGGGGTGGAGGGAAGTTAATTCGGATAAGATATAGATTGAAAGGAAAATAATATTGTTAAGCTGTATTGTGTTTAAGATATTTGGAAAAAAATAATAAGCAATGCTAAAATGAACCATCATTGATACCTATAACTTTCTCTTAGCTGCTGAATGGAGCATGGCTATGGTTGGATTCTCAATTCAGCTGAAAGTTGTTGCAAACGATTGAAGCTTTTGGAAGATGATTTCATGATGGGGCTTAAGTCTGAGTATACTGAATAATGCAAGCCACAGAACGATGGCCGGGTCCTAGGAGAAGCTACTCTGTTTTGGTTTTCCTAATAATCCTGCCACATTTCCGACAACAAAATAAACAGCATTTAACAGCAATGAATATGAAAACTGCCATGCAACCGATCAAGAAGGCAATGACGTCCAGGGAGTGATATTGGTACCAGGTCAAGTGATGGGCAGCTACTCTCAAGTGTTTGGCCTCTTTCTGGCGCATGACAAACTCAATCCAAAAGACAGCCCGGTCCAGCGGCTTTATCGGTTGGTCGTGGTGGATCTGTGACAGTCTCATTGCGTTTTCCTTATACCTGGAGGATTGGGTAAAGAAGGGGAGGGGGAAAGAGAGAAATGGAAGGACAAATTGGAATAGGGCCCAAACTCACATTTCCATTGAAGTTTAGCAGGTGTTACAAGTCCCGTTTGTGGTGTCATGGATGTCGAGCTCGGAGCCCAAGGAAGAAGGAAAGAAACTTAAGAGTGTTGAAAGACACCAGTAGAGTCCTCATGAGACAGGGAAGGTGGAATTGACACCCCATGAAATGTCTGGTCCTGAATAAAATTATCTGAAAAAATATGGTTCCAATAACAACACTGGGCTGTGCCTAGACTAACTTCACAGATATAAGGGAATTTTCTTTTTTAATAATGGAATGCGGATTACTTAAATGTAAGAGAAATATGGAAACCGCAAAGAGATAGCGGGAAGTCAATTAACATAAGAAACTCAGTCCAAAAGAAAGCCCGGTCCAGTGGCTTTATTGGTTGGTCATGCTGGATCTGTGACAGTCTCATTGCATTTTCCTTATATCTGGGGGATTGGGTAGGGAGAAGATAGAGAAATAAGAACAAATTAGTATAGAGCCAGAACTCATAATAATAATAATAATAATAATAATAATAATAATAATAATAATGTTATTTATACCCCACCCATCTGGCTGGATTTCCCCAGCCTCTCTGAGTGGCTCCCAACAAAACACTAAAAACAGAATAAAACTTCAAACATTAAAAACTTCCCTAAACAGGGCTGCCTTCAGATGTCTTCTTCAGAGGAGAGTTAGCGATTGACTCACGTGGCGTTGAGAATGACAGCCTTCACAGCATCCACTAAATCTTCTGCATCCATTGTCTTGATGTCCAGACCCACAGCCATCCCCTTTGCCTTCATGTGCTCAATATTGTCAGGCTGGTCAGCAAACATGGGAATCCCCACTGTGGGAACGCCATGGTAAATAGCTTCATAAATCCCATTGATCCCACCATGTGTTATGAAGGCTTTGGTCTTGGGGTGTCCTGGAAGGAGAAGACGAGACTCTGTTGACTATGGGATGATAAAAGTAGGTTATTATCAGTGATTCTTAGCAGCAGTGCCCAGCATAGTCCAACTGCCAAGCAATCTCTGAAGATTGCCGTTCACTAAACGTAGTAATGTTTCTAGAACTCAGTGCTGACCCTGGCCAAGCACACAACAGCTTTGTAAAACAGAGAGTTTGCCGTCTCTGGTATCCTGAATAGTTGAAAACACAAAGTACCAAAAATTTAGCACTGTCTGGGGCCTTGGCTTTTCTTGGGATGTACCCCAGCTGTTTCCCCTGCCTCTTTGCCCTCCCCTCCCCAAGGATTCCAAGAAATTGCACCCCATGAGAAGCTGGCCTACTCAAGAGTCGGTGGAAGAAGATTGGAAGAAATTCAAAGACTACCTACAGAAATATTGTAAAATTAATGAATGTTAGAATGATGTTGGATGAAAAGTTATGTGGTTTTTAGCTATAATGCTATAAGGAGTATGAAAAAAAATGGACTATTAACAGACAAAAATTTAATGTTACATTATTTTAAGATTAAAGATTAGGATAAACAAAGAGGGGAAGGATTTGCTGAACTAACAAATTGAACTGGAATACAAAAAGGGAGGTGTGAGGAGGTCTGGGAAATAAGCAAATGAAAGAAAGTGATGGAAAGATGGAATTGTTTTTTATCTATTTTTATTTTGTATTTTTCTTTTTTCATTTTGTAAAATTCTAATAAATATCTTAAAAAAAAGAGAGAGAAGCTGGCCTACTCTAGCAGAAAATGGAGAGGGGGAAAGTATGGGAAATAGCTGCGGTATGAAGAATAATAGTTTGATCTAGAACTCTACAAATTGGTGATGGCAGGAGGCCTGGGGAAGGACTAGAAGCAAACAGCAGAGACAGCTTATATCTTATATTGTGCGGTCGGGGGGAGGTCAACCAGCATCCATTCTGGATAATGATCTGCTTCTACTATTGGTCAGGGGAAGCACAACCAAAGAGCTTCTGACAACAGCTTGCACCAGACAAGGAGTCACGTCAAACCAGAAAGCCGTAGGTGAGAGAGGAATGTGCAGAAGCCTACAAGACGCATCCTTGACCATGTAGAAAGGAAACGTCGAGATTCTCCCCATCCAAACATTTCCCTGGGTCTTTGGAGCTATGGTGTGTTGTCAATGCATAAGCAAACCACAGTTCTTTTCTGTGTTTTGTAAATGTCCTTGTTCTGGCTACAGCAGTGGTCAACAAGGTTTACCTTACCTGGGCCAGTTCACTCTAGAGGAGATCCGTTCATGGGCCAGATCGCCCACCCACCCGCGATTTCTGGTGCCTGCGTCTGCACAGACACGATTTTCGGCATCTACGCCTATGCAGACGCAATTTCCGGCGCCGCGATAGCGAGTCCCCGTGCCGCGCTGTGCCGGTTTAGCACAGCACGCAGGGACTCACAGAGTGGGTGGCTTGGTTCAGGGGTGGCTTCTGGGCCATTTAAATGACCCCATGGGCCTTAGGTTGCCAACCCCTGGGCTACAGCATGTGTGCGCTCGCCATTTTCCTGTTTGCATCTTCCCCTCTTCCCTGCCCAACACACACATTGCCAGTTCTGAGATTGATTTTAAAAACGATCCAAGCTCAGCAATAAAACAGGCAGGACAGAATACAAGGGGCAGGGCGAAGCTACTGATTAGGAATGGAATAAAAGAAGGGGAAGATGCTCATTGCTACCACTATCCAGGGCTGTCAATGAGTGAGGAAAGTGAGGATGGAGGGGATATTTCCTAGGGATTGGCAGAACGCTGCAATGAAGCCAAAGGTGCAGTGAAACATGAAGTCTCTCTTACCCAGAAGATCATTTTGTGGTATCCATTCATAAAGCCTGGTGTTAGCTCCTAAGGTTTCTGGCCTTTTCCCTTTGTGGCGCCAAAGAACCTGGATCGGGGGGGGGGGGAGGAAAAACTGTTATCTGTAGCTCAGATTGCAAAGAAAACTAAACTGGCTCACAGGCCGTCTACTCATTTTGCTTGGCTTTTAAACAGGACCATGTTGATTCTGAAAGCTTCTCCCATAACTGTTGGCCCATCTGTTTTCTAATATGGCTCATCAACACTAGCTGCTTAACCACTTTCTTTAGTGACAGTAAAATCGACAGTGGAATTTGCTGCCAAGGAGTGTGGTGGAGTCTCCTTCTTTGGAGGTCTTTAAGCAGAGGCTTGACAACCATATGTCAGGAGTGCTCTGATGGTGTTTCCTGCTTGGCAGGGGGTTGGACTCGATGGCCCTTGTGGTCTCTTCCAACTCTATGATTCTATGATTCTATGAAAATGATCGTGCACCATATTTCTGGAGTACATCTGAGCCTATAACATATATTAATATTATGAGTTTGTGGGCGCTAGACATCTGTAAATCCCTGGATCTAGCGTTTGAATTTAATCAAGTCCATTTGTGTGATGTGACCAGGAAGGAAAGCAGGAAGCTGGAGAGAGAGAGAGAGAGAGAGAGGAGGGAGGGAGGGAGGGAGGGAGGGAGGGAGAGGGAGAGAGATGTTGGATGTCTGCTTGAATCCAAAGCTGCAGCCAGTGGCGTAGCGTGGGGGGTGCCAGGGGTGCCGGCCGCACCGGGCGCAACATTTTGGGGGGCGCGTTTGGCCGGCCCCCCTCGAGGAAGCGGGAACCTCTCCAAGGCACAGCGTGCCGTCGGTAGAGGAAAAAAGCCGCGCAGCAGCAGCAGCAGCAGCAGCAGCAGCAGCAAAGTCGGGAGGAGGAGGAGGTGGAGCGAGCCTGCTAATTCCTTGCTGGGAATTAAGCGGCTCAAGACTCTCTCCACTGGCCGCCTGGGTAGTGAGCCGAGCCGAGCAGGGAGTCTGGCGAGGGGGCGGGAAGAGACTGTCCCCCCTTTTTTCCACCTCGCCTGGTCAAAAAGGAGAGCGGAGTCTCCTCAGGGCGCCCTCAGGCAGGGCAGGGAAAGGCAAGCAGAGCGAGGAGGAGAGGGGGGGGGAGCAGCCAGGAAACGCCGCGGTGTGGAGGAGGAATCAATTTAGGAGAGAAAGCGAAAAGCCTTGGAGAAAGGGAAAAAAGGAAAGAAAAGAGGCAGCTCCAGGAGAGCGCGGGGGAAAGAGAAGCCTCGCTGCTGCTGCTTGGGAGAGTAAATTACTGTACTTGCCTTGCCCCGGGTTAGGGGGCGCAAATTACTTGCCTTGCCCCGGGTGCTGATAACCCACGCTACGCCGCTGGCTGCAGCTATGGGAGAAAGAAGACCCACTAGGGGTGTTCATGCTGTGAACCCCTCCATCGCAGGCTTTGGTTGTATATATGCATAAATAAACCGTATATCCTGAAGACACCACAGTCTCCATTGTGCCTCATTTCCAAAAGGAAACACAGACCCTGGGTAAGCGCATGGAACCCCTAGAACCTCACACCCAGTGTTCGAAAATCCCATTGTTCTAGGCATATATTGCAACAGGGAATTTCATTAACGTGAACTCTGGGCGCAGTACTATGCCTGAGATTTCAGATGAAAACTGCAGAGTGGAAGGAATGCAGGACCTTTTTTCTGCCTGCCCACTTCCAGTTACTCTCTGAAGACTGGAGAAGAGACGCTCTTAATAACATTAGGGGGGTGGGCAGCGGAAGGACTAGACCCTGTGAAAAATGAACATAATATTTTAGCTGCAGTTCATTCATTTTCAGCTTTGTATTCTTGTTATTAAAAAAAGCGCACCTAGACATTCCGTTGTGGCGCCCATAACTTAGGTTTAAGGTGCCATTTAGCTCCTAGCTTTCTAATCTCGGTTTCTAACACTGCTCACACCGCTCAGAGATTGGGGTGACAGGCAACATTAAGATAGTAGGCAACTAACAGGGCATTTATACTTACGAAGATATACAAGGTGCAAAATTAAATTCGAGCTGCACAATTAAAGTGGATTTGGCACTCTTGAACAACAAACCTGCTTCCCCAAAATTGGACTTTTTTGTGGGAAGGAAAGTGGCAGGAAATTGCCCTGGAAAGTGTGGGGTAACCATTTCTTGATGCAACATCCTATAACTTTCCTACAAACATACTGTAGTCCCCCTGCAAACCTTGTGCAAATAAAACAGGATGAACGCTCAGCAAATAGGTCATCTGAAAACAACCCAAAACACTGCTGTTCAGAATTCTCATAATCTACAAAAATAAAAAGTATAGTGAATACTTATCTACTTTTAAAACTCTCATTTTTAATCTTATTTCTTCCTTTTCTTTATCTTCTTCTTGTTCTTTTCTTTTAGATTTTACCTTTCATTTCTTTTCTTTATTGTGGATATTGTTTTGTAGAGGTGTAAATAATTGTAATCCCGGACGAGCTCTACCTTTAGGGGACGCGGGTGGCGCTGTGGGTAAAACCTCAGCGCCTAGGACTTGCCGATCGCATGGTCGGCGGTTCGAATCCCCGCGGCGGGGTGCACTCCCGTCGTTCGGTCCCAGCTCCTGCCAACCTAGCAGTTTGAAAGCACCCCCGGGTGCAAGTAGATAAATAGGGACCGCTTACCAGCGGGAAGGTAAACGGTGTTCCGTGTGCTGCGCTGGCTCGCCAGAGCAGCTTCGTCACGCTGGCCACGTGACCCGGAAGTGTCTCCGGACAGCGCTGGCTCCCGGCCTCTAGAGTGAGATGAGCGCACAACCCTAGAGTCTGTCAAGACTGGCCCGTACGGGCAGGGGTACCTTTACCTTTTTTAAATAATTGTAAATATGAGAAGAGGTAAAATCTTTTCTAATTTTCTCTTGGTTACATGTATTTTCCTTTTTTGGGGGTATATTTGTATTTTTTTCTAATTTGTACTCAATATATAATTAAATAAAATTTAAAAAATAAAATAAAATAATAAAAAGTGATGATGTTTAAGTACGGGTAGATTTTAAGGAAAACAAATGTGGAAAGTGTTCCCTTATCATGGCAGGGATAAGGAAATGAGGGCAGCATTTTCACAAATCCAGTACTGTATACAACTGCATTTTTAACCAAATGACATGAACACTGACCTTCTGTGGAAGTTGGCTGAGTGCTGATGCAAGCATGTTATTCCTTTCATCTGTTAAGTTTGCAACAAGAGAGCCCAGAGAAAACACCACAATCCCATGTTCCCCTGAACTCTGGACAAATTCTTCCATTTCCTGTTGAGAGATAAAAGCCATCTTTATAAACAAACAAACAAACAAACAAACAAACAACATTTCTCCATGCTTTTAAACCTAATGCACGAGTAAAGGTAAAGGGACCCCTGACCATGAGGTCCATGCTGATGTTCCATCTAAGTAGCTGTCCTCACGTCCTTTGTGATGGAGAATTGCGAAAGCCTCTGAATGCGGAACTTTGAAAGGACCCTAACTATTCTCTCTTTGCTTTATTTGTGAGTATGCAAGTTAGTTAGATTTTACAATGTTCTTATTTTTTCTTGCCTGTAACTTACTAAAGAAGTGCCTGCTATTTTAGCATGTTTTCTTATGTTCTTTTAAAATAAATTTTAAAGACAGAAACTGTTTTTGGTTTGTGTGCCTTTCCGGGGGAAAAGCTAATTCCTAGCCTTACGCTTGGTTACGCTCTACCGTAGAATTTCTGTCTGCAAGTCTGTGGATACAGCTTGTGGAGGGGGGATAACCAGCAATAACGGGGCACAGCCTTCTCCCTGGGTTGTGGCTCTGGGTTCCCCAGGACAAAGGGAGTGGTGGCAGCCTTACTGATGTTATTTTGTCCTGTTCTGTAAAAAGTAAACACGCCTGCCAACCCTGCTCAAGAAACCTGATCTGGCCGGAGAGCAAAGACAGGTGAGGGAGGAGAGGGTGGTTGGGGGCGAAGTTTACCACAGCTTGTAACAGGGAAGGTGGTCTTTAAAGTCCAGTTTTCAAACTACTGTATGTTTCAGGCTCCTCAGAAGGAGGTTCCAATGGCAACCACTGGCCTTTAGGACTGGACAGGTGGGTGCAGGGCAGACAAGAAGCAGAACTACAGGTCACATCTTTGGAGACACCGATTTCCCGCTTTTTCTACTGTGCCTTTACCTTTAAGCTTGTAGCCCATCCAGAAAGCACTCCACACCCCTCTCTACATAAACATGGGACACAATCCGTGTGTCTTCACAAGCTTCGTTGGAATGAACAGCTGCTACAATGAGTAGACTGTTTGTTCCGCACGTCAGATGTGCTCTTCTCCCTTTCTGCCACTCTGAATGTTGCCCCAAACCCACATGATAGTAAGGCTGCTGCGGTGGTGACTCAACTGGGGCCTGAGCGCCAGAAGTAAGGCAGTGTGCAGCCGCGATGGGTGGTGTGCTGTGTCAGTAGCTGCAGTACATGGTGGTGCATGGAGGCAGCCACAGTGCTCAACGCCCGGTGGCCTCCGTAGCGCATGCGCTGTGTCATGACGTGATGTCATTACCTCATGTCACATTTGTGGGAATGTTTAGGGATGTGGGGGAGGATATATTGTCTAAGATATCCTATCCCAACTTGTCTTTACAAGTTCAACAAAATCAGCAGAGTTAACATCCCCCTTTTTTAAACACACGCACAGCAGATAGCTTGCTCCAGACTCGTTAGAGTCTCTGTAAATATTTCCTGGTATTTTCCCCGTTTAATCCCTCCTAAAATAAGACGCTACACAGTCTTCTGTAAAGTATAAAACGTTTACTGACAAGTAATCATCTGTTCACACAAAGGTACCCAGAAGGCAGACTTAAAAGGTTAGAACATAGTTTAACTGTGGTAACTATCTCCTTATGAGAGAAAGCCCCCCTTCTCTTGGCCTGGAGCCAAGGGTGCATCTTAGTAGTGCTGTTGTTAAGATGGCATCAACAGAGACAAGAGAAACAAGATGGTCGCCAGCCTGTGGTTCTACTTTAGGAGAGGCCACGCCCATCACATAAGAAGTTTCATCTCAGTCCTGGAAAGCAGGAAGTTCTGGCTGGAGGACTGAGACATGAGTAGACTCATGAGTAGACTTCATGTCTACTCTAGCCATGTTGTGTTTGACTGCACCTGATTCTTACATCCCACAACATTATGACGTCATTACGGCGTGGTGCCGTGCGCACCAATGTTGGGCACCAATGTTGGGCACCCACAGTGTGGGGCCCAAGTGGGCACCTCTGTAAACTACGTTGACCTTGCCACTTCTTTATCACGCCACCACACGCCCTCCCCTTCCCCAGAGGTGCTTTGAACAAGATCCAGGCATGGTTATCATGCACAAGTGAAGGTCAAGGGAGAGAATTACCTCTGGCAAAGGCTTGGCTGGCTGACAGTGCAGACCCCCCACAAATTCAAAATTTGGTAGGGAAGGCAGCGGGAATTCGAAGTCCCAGTAGGTGCGGACCAACCAGATCTCTGCTTTCCCTATCACTTCACAACGAGTTGTGGGTCTCCCTGATGAATGAGGAAGAGAAACGGAATTACTTCACAAATGCAAAGGATTTGGCAAACTCGTTTCTAGAAATATTGAAAGCTAGTTTGCACATTACATTTCAAATGAACACCTAAAGATTTGAACAATAGTTGGGGACAAAGCTGTGCTTGAAAAAATACATGTACACTTATTCATTGGGAACCAAGATGGGCGGTGGCTCCTTGATGGATATTCTTTCAGAGGAAAATCCATGTCTGATATTTTTTGAAAAAACCCTTAGCTCTGAAGTCAGCATTGGTAGCTGAATGTGAATCAGAACTAGTAAGACAAGCCTTCCCCAACCTGATGCCTCCAGTTGCTGGATGGAGCTAATGGAAGTTGTAGCCCAAAATATCTGGAGCACAAAAGTGGGCAGGGCAGCAACTGGGGGAGGAGACCATGTATTCATGCTCCTTCCTCCCCACCTTCAGCACACACACATTCAGACAAATGTCTGAAAAGGGCTATTAAGATCCCAGGGCTGGTGGAGTGAAAGCTTCTGGCAGGATATATAGATCTCAGGACCTTCTAGGTCCAAAGAGTTGTTGCTAAGGCACTGGAACCAAAGCAAAAGAAACACCTTCATTGTTCCGCCTCTTGTTACTGAGTTGTGTATACAACATGAGGGCAAACACCATTTGCAGAAGCTTTCGATTCCTCCATCTTCCTTGCGTCTCTTTCTCTTTCTATGTTACTGATCCTCAAGTGTGCGATGCACATACACATATTTTGTACAAATTATTTGGTTGGTTGAACGGCATCGCAAAATTCAGGAAGCTGCAAGCTTGTGTCTCCGTGTGTGCGCTATTTAAGGAAACAACTTAAGGAAATAATTATTTAAGGAAATAATAAGGGCTTTTTCAGTGATGGCTCCAACCTGGTGGAATGTTCTGTCCCACGAGACCAGGGCCCTGCAGGACTTGATCTCCTTCGGCAGGGCCTGTAAGACAGAGCTCTTCCACCTGGCCTTCAATTTGAATTAGCCTGATCCTCTATTCCCTTTCTCCTTTTCTCTTCTATGAAGAAACCCTTTCTGGGACCCCACATTTAAATTCTTCCCTGGTCACCTTGCTGGCCCTAGTAGGACCAACTTGGCCAGTTAGCCCTGGTGATCATTTTGATGTCTACTGACTGGGTCCCCCCCCCAAAAAAAAATGACCCCTGAATTTTCAAATTTTATTGATACTGATGCTGCATTTTATGTTGTATTTTATGTTGCTTTAAAATCACATTTTAATCAATTTGCTGTTAGCCTCCAAACTGGGAAGGGCGGGGTATAAATAAAAAATTATTATATTTATTATTATTAAATGCAATTTAGGAAGGTCCACATAATATTGCAAACCAAAGTTTCTTCACAAAGCCCAGAAGAACACATCAGTAAATAAAGCAGCACAAAAGAATGCTGGTGGAACAATAGCTACAATATCAAATTTGCTTTTTCCATGCTTGAACATTGGTGGGAAAGAGCAGAAAATTCCAAAAGAATGCCCATGCTTCAATTCCAAATTCATTTTAGAAATTATTCTACTTCAAGTTGAATACAGCAGGCAGAGCAACTGGGTGAAGCGATAAAGGAGCAAAGCAGGTGAGATCTACACCTCCCTCCATTACAGGTAGTAGGCTCTCCAGCTTAGTAGAGTCTTTTCCCAGCTGACCGTGGCTCTACACAGGCCCAGGATGAGGCCTTTCCAATCCTGCTACTTGGAGGCCCCTTCTAACTGGCCATGCCAAGGACTGAAGTTGGAATCCTTGGCCTCTTTAGAGCATCTACTCTACCTTTGGGAAGAAGAAACAAAAACAGGCTTACCTAAAACCTGACTGTAATAAGAGTCCCACTCTCCCCACCAGCTCTGGTAAATATAATCTTGCACAAGGTAAGATATTATATTCTTCACCCGTTCTCCAAAAGACATTCTGTCTGTGAGCCCAGACATGATAGCTGGAACATACGAAGGAGGAGCAGGCATTTTGCCACAGTGTCTCTCCAGCGTTGAGGCTGGCGTGACCCTTACGGTGAACAGAAATGGGATGTTCAACTTCAGAGCAATGAGGTCGCCACAGGGTAAGATCAGGTCCGCAACCAGAACATCATAGTTGCTCTTTTTCAGGCGGGCCATGAGTTCCGGATTGCCCAGCACTGCTTCACACCTCTGCCTATGAATTTCATTTATGCTTCTTACGCATTTCCTTGCTGCTTGGTAGAAGCTGTGGAAAGTCAGGGTGGTTGGTTTGTTGTTCAAGCCCAACATTATGAGCTCCTGCATATAGGAGTCCATGGCACTCTTTCCATAGGGCACAGGGAACACCTCAAACCTGGCAGCCGCTATATCATCACTGGGTTTTATTAAAAAGGTTGTTGACGGAGTTAGGATGCTGACGTTGTGACCTCTATGCAGCAGTTCCTGAATAACGACCTTGATATATAGCCAGTGGCTGCCATCCTCTGGCCAGATAAGCACATTCCCACAGAAAATATTTCCCACTAAGACAAGCTGAAGTGTTAACAAATGAATTAATGCCACTCCTGCTGATGTGGGGGTCATGATGTTCTTTTCTGGGACAACCGATTTCTTCTGTCACTCCTCAACGGAGTTATTAATCAGTATTTCATTTTGCGCGGAAACCTCACATCATTAACTTTCCTTTCCCAGAAGACTTTTTAACCAAATGTGTTGAGTCAAGTCTGTTGTTGGAGATTTCTGGAATGAAAAAACAAACGGCACAACATTCATCCATCGCTATTTCAACTAAATGATATTTTTACACAACTGGAATCAATGCAAATGTACCTTCCACCCCAAAACAACAACTTATTAGCATATCGTTTTATACAGCTATATGATATAGGATATATACATCTTCTGGGTTACACCCTCCAGGCCAAGGGGGTATAGGATATTGCAGCTGTTCCAGTGGTGTAGCTGCCCTGATATGGTTGGGAAGTATTGGATTACTCCCCTACTTTCACAGGTACAACTGAACCATATTCTTGCCCACCTTGGAGAATCCTGCTCCTAATTTCATTCATGCCATTCAAATATGCAGACATCACGTGAAGCAATCTTCCTGGGACTCTGCGACTGTAGGATGCAGGTGGGAGATTGAATGCCAATGCTCTCCTTGTGAACAAAAAACTAGCATATCAGGGCAGAGGTCTAGGTGCAAGCACCTTCTCTAACAAGCTAGATTTCCATCTGCAGTGAGTACATGCACATGCTATCTTCCCTAAACGTCCTCGGCCCAGTATACCTGAAGGAGCGTTTCCACCCCCATCGTTCTGCCCGGATACTGAGGTCCAGCGCCAAGGGCCTTCTGGCGGTTCCCTCACTGCGAGAAGCAAAGCTACAGGGAACCAGGCAGAGGGCCTTCTCGGTAGTGGCGCCCGCCCTGTGGAATGCCCTCCCATCAGATGTCAAAGAGATAAACAACTACCTAACATTCAGAAGACATTTTAAGGCAGCCCTGTTCAGGGAAGTTTTTAATGTGTGACATCTTAGTGTATTTTTTGTCTTTGTGGAAGCCGCCCAGAGTGGCTGGGGAAACCCAGCCAGATGGGCAAGGTACAAATAATAAATTATTATTATTATTATTATTATTATTATTATTCTGTTTTCAGTCTGAAATGGAACGGTCCCAGGGTTGTGGGTACGCAGTATACCGTGACCATTCAGGGAGGGAGGAAAGAATATTGGGAAGTTGGATGCAACAGAAGGGCAAACTTAAAAGTTTTAGGCATGTTATGTAATATAACCCTTAACTTCACAGAACTCTGTGACAGTGGCTAACTCCAAAGTAAGTGTTCCACTTAGCTGCCTTAGGGGCCAGTTCCTTTGCAGGGCTGGGCAGTTGTAATTACTGGTTCTCTTTCATTAGTTTATTTTGGGGTAAAATAGAGCATTAAAAGAATAAAAGAATAAAGAATAAACAAGAATAAAGCAGATAGAGGAAACCAGAAATGTAAAGCTTCAACATCCAGTCCCCAGCCCCTAATAGTTCTCAAATTTTGGCCCCATGGAAGGTGTTGTAATCACAAAGGAACTGGCCAGGTGCAGGCCAGCTTAGGCTTCTGTGAGGGACAGCAGAGTCAGACCAGAATCTGGTGATGCAGTCCCTCAGAATTCCACCAGAGGGCTGCAGCCTCTCTCTGATTGGCTACCAAGGCAGCTAGTCAGAGGGGGGTGGAGCCAGCACTTTGGGCGGGAGAATAAAAGGAGCCGTTTCTGAGGGAGAAAGTTAGAAGGGGTAGTGAAGGGAAAGAGCTGGAGCGAGATAGTTTGAGAGACAGGGCTTGATTTGAGATGGTAGATAGGAATTAGGATAGGGTTTGTCTGAGGGAGAATGAGTTCTGATTTGAGTTGAACATCTGCTCTGAGGAGAATAACTTTAGCTGGAGGAAGGAGCCTCACAGCTTAGATAGGGAGACTGGGTTGAGGGTCTGGGGAAGGTATACAGACAGGAGTTAACTGTGTGGGAATGTTCAGGGAGGCAGGAGAGGATATATTCTTTAATTATATCCTTCCCAACTTGTGTTAACAAGTTCTATAATTTAGCAGAGTAACATTCCCCTTTTTAAAACTTACACAGCGGATAACGTTTTGCCATGCCTGCTTAAGCCTCTAAAATAAGTGTCCTGGTAATTCCCTTTATTCCCTCGTAAAAATAATAGACACGACACAGTCTTGTATAAAAAGTATAAAATAGTTTATTCACACATTCTGTTCACAGATGGATCCTAGAAGGCAGACTTAAGTTACAAAATATATACACCTGGAATCTATCCCATAAGAAGATAGTTACAGTGGTGCCCCGCAAGACGAATGCCTCGCAAGACGGAAAACCCGCTAGACGAAAGGGTTTTCCGTTTTGGAAGTGCTTCGCAAAACGAATTTCCTATAGGCTTGCTTCGCAAGACGAAAATGTCTTGCGAGTTCCTGCAGGGTTTTTTCCCTCCCCCCCCCCTTTTCCCCAAGCTGCTAAGCCGCTAAACAGCTGGTCCGCTAAGCCGCTAAGCCGCTTAACAGCTGATCGCTAAGTCTCTTATCAGCTGATCCGCTAAGCCGCTTAACAGCTGATCCACTAAGCCGCTAAGCTGCTTATCAGCTGATCCGCTAAGCCGCTAAGCCGCTTATCAGCTGATCCGCTAAGCCGCTAATAGCGCTAATCTGCTAAGCCGCTAATGGGCTTGCTTCGCAAGACGAAAAAACCGCAAGACGAAGAGACTCGCGGAATGGATTCTTTTCGTCTTGCGAGGCACCACTGTACTTTGTCCTCCCTTGGCTGGAAGACAAGAGAGCATCTCAGGCTAAGGAGCTGTTGCTTCTTTGCGGAATGGAGTCAGAGAGAGATGTGGTGGCCAGTCCTGTGCTTTTGTTACCTGCACAGGTGAGGTCACGCCCACCTCTGGTCACATGTAGAGAAAATTTGCCCCAGCCCAGGAGGAAACAGGAAGTTTATCTACTGGCTGGACAAACATCCCTCTTCGTGTCTAAACATGTCCACTCTAGGAATGTTGTATTTGACTGCTCTGTGTTTCACACCCCACAAACTGGAGGGCTGAGTCTGTGCCAGGAGAGGGAGAAGCTATGAGGATACAGCTTACATGGAACTCATTCCAGTCAGGAGGGAGAGGTCTTCTAGATCAGGCATAGGCAAACTCTGGCCCTCCAGATGTTTGGGACTACAATTCCCATCATCCCTGACCACTGGTCCTGTTAGCTAGGGATGATGGGAATTGTAGTCCCAAACATCTGGAGGGCCTGAGTTTCCCTATGCCTGTTCTAGATAAAGAAGACTCCCAAACCAGTAACAAGGAGTGAGGCAACCCCCTGGGTCTGTTAACAATCCCACGCCTGAGGTATTCCAACTAGTTTGTTGGAATACCTCAGGAGTGTGATTGTTAACTGACAAAAATGCCCCTCACTCATGAACCAAAGTATTAACTGTGAAGGAAGCTGTGCTGTGTTAAAAGTATTTAACTGTCATAACTAAGTAAAGGAATGAGAGTGAAGTAGCAGAAATTGAATTATAGTCATTTTGCTGCCTATTCTAGAAACCTGAACATCTGCCTGAAGTGTAACAACAGATTTTTAGCAACTGAAAACTGTTTAATCCTGCGACAGCTTTACATTGTATTTTTTATATTCTGTTGAGAGCTGCCCAGAGTGGCTGAGGAAACCCAGCCAGATGGGCGGAGGTATAAATAATATATCATCATCATCATCATCAACATCATCATTCAGTTTAAGTAATAAGTTGACTTCTACCTGAAAGAACGCATTTCCTGACCCAACTTTGTTTCACCAACCTCTTTTTGCAAATAAAACTTTCCTAGTTTGATTGACTCCTGCCGGAGACCCCTGAATCGAAGTTTCCCTCACACAAGACCCCCCACGAGATAGCCTGTGGTAAATGGTAGAAATTCGCTTGATTGGCCTGCCGTGCGGTGGGTTCGTTATATTTAATTAGGGGCAATTAGTGAGGGGAGCGCTGTGGGTTAAACCACAGAGCCTAGGACTTGCCGATCAGAAGGTTGGCAGTTCGAATCCCCGCAATGGGGTGAGCTCCCATTGCTTGGTCCCTGTTCCTGACAACCTAACAGTTCGAAAGCATGTCAAAGTGCAAGTAGATAAATAGGTACCGCTCTGGTGGGAAGGTAAACGGCGTTTCCGTGCGCTGCTCTGGTTCGCCAGAAGCGGCTTAGTCATGCAGGCCACATGACCCGGAAGCTGTACGCCGGCTCCCTCGGCCAATAAAGCGAGATGAGCGCTGCAACCTCAGAATCGGCCACGACTGGACCTAATGGTCAGGGGTCCCTTTACCCTTTACCTAGCTGGGTGAATCTGCTATGGCTTCATCACGATGGCTGCTTCGTATACCTTGGGCCACATGATTCCCTTTATATTGGCCAACACTTCGCTTTGCCTTCCCAGACAAAATCTATTCAGGGTCTCCTGACTTACCTGGATATGCTGAGATGCTCACTCCCTGCTGCCCTAGGAAAAGGACAAAGGTGTCTTGAGGCTCAGACCCAGATAACAGAGCTTGACTATCTTAGTATAAAATGCAGTGGGCTGGACTGCAGTAGTTCACTACGTGCAGTTCCATAAGGGTGGGTACTGACCCCTCTTTCAATTATTAACTTTTCAGTTTCCCAGTACTGTTGCATGCATTTTGACGATATTCCTTCACTTCTCTGCTGAACAAGCAGCAAGCACTTTGCCCTGTTATGGCCTGGTTTGGGGGCCACAACCAGGTAGTGCACTTTAGACAACAGCTTTGTTGTGCATGCCAAATCAATCAGATTTGCAACATGCAACTTAGCTCTCTCCTTTGTATGGGGAAATGCAGGGGCGCCAGGATAAGCAAACAGAATCCAAATTGCTCGAGTCCAAAGATCTCAGACCCCACCTAGCTCCTGTAAAGAAAGTCACTCTCACACAAGCACACATGCACACAAAATTTTGCCGTATATTTTGCTCTATAAGACTCACTTTTTCCCTCCTAAAAAGTAAGGGGAAATGTGTGTGCGTCTTATGGAGCTAATGCAGGCTGCGTAGCTATCCCAGAAGCCAGAACAGCAAGAGGGATCGCTGCTTTCACTGCGCAGCGACCCCTCTTGCTGTTCTGGCTTCTGAGATTCAGAATATTTTTTTTCTTGTTTTCCTCCTCCAAAAACTAGGTGCATCTTGTGGTCTGGTGCGTCTTATAGAGCGAAAAATACGGTAACTGTTCTGTTCTGGTTGCCAAGCAGTCACCAATGAGTTTTTGGCTTGGCATCAAGGTGACTGATACTGAATTTTCAAGGGAATTTAACTAAATAAATGGAAGGATAGAACAGTAGAGGTATGATACAAGTCTTTTAAAGGGTTACAGTCATACCTCATGTTACGTTTGCTTCATGTTACGTTTTTTCAGGTTGCGTCCCGTGGCGACCCGGAAGTACCGGAAAGGGTTACTTCCGGGTTTCGCTGCTCGCACATGCGCAGTAGCGCTAAATTGCGCTTTGCGCATGCACACAAGCACCATATCATGCTGTGCACCTGCACAGATACGGCACTTCAGGTTGCGAGGTTTTCATGTTGCGAACGGGCCTCCAGAACGGATCCCATTCGCAACCAGAGGTACCACTGTATATATAAAAAGATTGTAAGCATAAAATGTCTTTAATAAACATTAACTTAATAGGGCGCCAAATACACAAGTTGTTTCTAGAGCTTCTGCCAACACGCTAAAAACCATGTTTAAAGACACAAGATGCATTTTTAGCATTGACAGAGCCCCAGCCAAACTGCAGAAAAGGACAAAAGAATTTTTTGTAACGGAAAGAAAGAAACATGAAAAAGGGAAGAGAAAATAATAATGAACAGAGAAAGAGATGGAAGGACGAACGGACAGAAGGAACGCATATCCTCCAAGTGTCTTGGTTTTACCATCTCATACAAGACTACATTTTTTCTACTTTTCCAGATGTGGAAGATAATTTTGACTATCCACTAGGTGGTGTTATGTGTTTGTGCTCCTCAGTAAACTAAAATATATACCCTTCCCCTTGCTTGGCAACCTACCAGCCAATAGAAAAGAGAAGAAATGGAAAGAAAAGAAAAACATTTTATTAGGTATTATGCTTTCTGTCCAGGGACGCGGGTGGCGCTGTGGGTAAAAGCCTCAGCGCCTAGGGCTTGCCGATCGAAAGGTCGGTGGTTCGAATCCCCGCAGCGGGGTGCGCTCCCGTTGCTCGGTCACAGCGCCTGCCAACCTAGCAGTCCGAAAGCACCCCTGGGTGCAAGTAGATAAATAGGGACCCGCTTTCTAGCGGGAAGGTAAACGGCGTTTCCGTGTGCTGCGCTGGCTCACCAGATGCAGCTTTGTCACGCTGGCCCCCGGCCTCTTGAGTGAGATGGGCGCACAACCCCAGAGTCTGTCAAGACTGGCCCGTACGGGCAGGGGTACCTTTACCTTTACCTATGCTTTCTGTAGATATGTGTGGACAAGTGCTGCCTTGTCTAATTCACTCAAGAGAAGGAAAATAGCTTATACTCCTGCTCCAGTTAGGGGATCATATTTTTCCACTAACTGAAAACCTCGGGATTGTGCACTTGGACTCCACATCAACCAATCAATTTAATTTAAATTGCTCATGGTAGCGTATCTCATTCTGCATGAGTTTAACCCTTTCTCCTCAAGTCCGTGGGGCAGCACATGCGCCTTCATTCTCACCCACTACACAAAGACACTGCCCCAAATGTTGCATCCTCCAATATAAGACTATTCTCTCGCTTTATCCGGTTTATTCCTTCTAGCAGTGACCTTCCTTCCCCACACTTTCCTCTTTGTTGTGCTCATTTCTCAAGAAGCTCTCTCTGGCATATCCAAAATCTCGCGCTGCTACAACACAGCGACTCAGTAAACTCTCCCTCTCCATGTCCAGTCCATCCACCATGCTCCCCATTCAACCCACGAACTCTATTGAGGTGCCAGTTCTGATGGGGTGAAAAGTGAAGAGGTAAGGCGCCCATTCCCAAGCACTGCTTTCACTGAAAAACAAATAAAAGCAAACCAGCCAGTAATTTTTTAAAAGAAATTTTGCTAATGGCTAGTTTGGCTCCCCTTAGATTGTAGATTTGTTTTTGAAACATGGTGCATCACATTGTCAAATCTCATGGGCTTTTTACCAACTGCAGGCCGCTGGATCCATCCCCAAGAAAATCCGGTTGCAAGAAAGTTGGAACAGGTGTGTTATGTACTGAGTTGAATAGGGTCCAGAAGGCAGCAGTCTGATTGGTCCTAGAACAATAGGGTCCATAATGCAGCAGTCTGATTGGTCCACAGGAGCCACCCAATCCAGCTCCAGGTGGAAGGGAATCCGCAACCTGATTGGCCTACAGGTGAATCCTGGAATTAGCCAATCATGTGGGGCCCATTGTGTAAATAATGTATATAAAGCAGACATTCTGGGGAACCTCCATTCCTCCTCACCACCATGAGCTGAATAAAGAGCATGAAATCCACTCTCGACTCCGAGTATATTTCAAGGTGATACGGGAAGTTGTTCAGGTTTTTGTCATCCATGCACTTCCTTTTGCCAAGATGCTTTCAGTCATTGCAGCTGCCACACCATTCCCAAAATAAACCCATCGAAATGCTCTACTCAAGAACATCTCACACACTGTGTTGTGGTGAAGATATAAGTGTGATCAGGACTTATTAACTGAGACAGCTCCTGTCTATTAAACCAGTTTGTATTCAGTGCAATACGTCCTTTATCATTCAGGGTACTGCAGGAGTTAATTCTGGACCTTCCTATGTGAAAAGTTTTGACTACCTGCTTTCAGTTCTGGGCATCAAAGACCTGTTGGATTAACCTTTGTTTATCTGGTAAGGTTTATGTGAAATCAAATAGCATTGCTACCGCCCTCTCCACCAGTCCCTACATTATTCCCCTGAACATGCCAGGGGAATGTCCCGCCCGATTCTCACATTTCTCTCTTTCCATTTAATACCTCTATTCAAAACAAATCTTATTTAAGCTTCTTTTCCTTTACTCCATGCAGAAGACTGCTGAATCTGGAAAGGAGAAGACCAGGTAGGTGTCAATGGGGCAAGATTGATCTGGTTTATCATTGTTATTAACATCATGATGATAATTTATTACTTAGGCACTCAGAATATTTTTTTTAAATAATAATAAATAGGAAACACCAGACATTAAAAGCTCCCCATGAAGTCCTAACAGATGCTATAAGACATGATGGTTAATTTCCTGTTGTATTGATAAATAACTCCTGTTTAGCCAGTTTCCTAATCTTGCATTGGCATCTTGAAAGATTGGGTTATCGTCTTCTTAGCAGAATAATGCCTACAAATTCAATCCACTGAAAAGGATATACCAAGAGCTCTGGCCACAAGTTTCAATATAAAGAATAATTTTTACTCGAGAGTTGAAAAGAAAAACGTGTATATTCTTCTAAGAATAACAGTTTGAAGCTAATAGTAAATTTAAATACAACGTGTAAGTACGATAGTTTTAAGGTAATAGTAAATTTAGATACAACGTTTAAGTGCAGAAATAATGTAGTTTCAAATATGCAGTGGGAAAAAAATATGCAGTGAAAAAAAACTTGTGGCCAGAGCTCTTGGTATATCCTTTTCAGTGTACAAATTCAATCCAGCATTTCTTGTGCACATGATTACGCTCACCTGGCAACATACATCGGTATCCTGGCTACATAAAAACAGCTCCTGAAACTGGAACGGTCGCGACAGCCCACACGCCTCTGCATCTGTGAGTTTGGGAGGGAAAGAGGTAACTATGGATGCTGGTCGATGCAAACCGCTGAAGGTGGTCTGAGAGTTGCTACTAGCGTAGAATGTTGTGGCTCACTTCTTGACGGGGGCACATTTTCAGAAGGATTTCCAGCTCAGCTGCACTGGTTTCCGAATAGCATCAGAGCCCATTTCAGTGCTGGTAATGAACCTCAAAACCATACATGAAAGGCTGAAGCCTTGGGGGGCCTCTCTTCCCATCTGTGCTTCCCCCTTCCCTGAGATCCACAGGGAAAAGCTTTCTTGTATGTCCCACGATGCTGAAGATGTGAGGATACAGTTACTGTAGTAACACCTGTGACTGCATTAAGGTAAAGGTAAAGGTACCCTGCCCGACAGGGCCAGTCGTGACCGACTCTAGGGTTGCGCGCCCATCTCGCTCAAGAGGCTGGGAGCCGGCGCTGTCCGGAGACACTTCCGGGTCACGTGGCCAGCGTGACGAAGCTGCTCTGGCGAGCCAGCACCAGCACAGCACACGGAAACGCCGTTTACCTTCCCGCTATAAAGCGGTACCTATTTATCTACTTGCACTTAGGGGTGCTTTCGAACTGCTAGGTTGGCAGGAGCTGGGAACCGAACAATGGGAGCTCACCCTGCCGCGGGGATTCGAACCGCCGACCTTACGATCAGCAAGTCCTAGGCACTGAGGTATTACCCACAGCGCCACCCGCGTCCCTCTGCATTAGTTTGTTCGTATTATAAAGCAAAATAGCCGCTGCTCTTCATCTCCTTCCTTAGATTTTTATCTGGTTACATTTTTGTTTCAACTGTCAATTTGTGTTTATGGGTTTTTGGTTGTTTAATGGTGGATTGAATAGCTGTTTGCTCGGGGTCTGAAATCACTCTCCCCCTTCACTAAAAATTGCCAAAAATTAAATGTTGGTGGTTTCTGGGCCACCCATATACAGTCATACCTCGGGTTGAATATGCTTCATGTTGAGTGCATTCAAGTTGCGCT